AAAGCTGTATGATACAACATACAATTGCAGTAAGTATGTATGATACATGATAAGAGAGCTTTAGAACCAAAAACAAATCGCAGGTGTGTCCGAAGACACACCTGCTACTCACCGAATGCAGTAGGCGGTTGTGAAGCAGCACAACATGAACAACTTTGCGCCCCATTTTTGAGGCCTGTCTTTCATGTAGACCCTCATTCTGTTGAATGTCGACCGAGAAGGAAGCATGGCCTCATCGAAGGCCATGACGGCCGGGAGAGTAAAGTCAACAGCGAAACGATTCTGAAGTGCATCAATCACGGGTCGTTGTTTCCAGACTCGATCTGTGCCCGATCATGCGTCCTCGTTAGAACTGAAGTGTAAGTTGCATGACAGGTGCATGAAACGGTCGCGGGTGATGAACTGACCGAAGCAGCCGCGTGGGATTCCACCTTCATCGGGCGTTCGCCAGTGGTTCGCCAATTTCTCCTTGTTGGGGGCGTTAGATCTCGCCAGCAACAATCCCACAAAAACACACAACTCACAAGGCAAAACCGACGACATTCTGAGCTGTTCTTCACGAATCGTCTCACGCGTCTTCCGTTTTGAAATTTGGGTGCTTCTGTTCACGCGCAGCTTGTTTCAAATATTGCCCTCTTACGCTTTCGTCAATCTTTCTGTCGAAGTAGTTGTTCTTCTCAGTAGTGATGTCTTCCCATAATTCAGGTTGGAGGAAATAGAAGAACGCCCCGGAAGGCGTGCCTCCGCCGCTAGTGCCCGAGAGGTTGGGCCAGACACTCCGCTGTACAAGTTAGGGTAGTCGTCAAATATTGCCTGGGGCGGCCGAGGCTCATAAGGCTGCATCACATAATCGTACGGTGTGTGCGTCGTCAAGCCCCCTCCAACCCGTTTCTCTCATCTCCTTCAGGAATCCATCGGACACTTGGCCCGACGCAATGTTTACCATGCCACCAATAGAAGACACCAAATCATCATCAAACCGCATCTCCGGCGGCACTGGTAGGCGCTCATCATTTGCGTCAATGCAATCCTCAAATGAATAGTTGTCCTCACCATCATCATTCTCAGCGTCAGATTCAAACGTCGCGTAGTCCATGAAGCCGCCGTTAGTATTGAATCTAATGTAAACCAAATACATAGAAGCTAATGGAACATCATAACATGCATATACATTATGTGTATACCTCCGTTATTGGCACCAACACGTATTTCCTTTGCCTCCTCTTCGGTTGGTGCTCCCACTGTGCTATCGAGTGGATCTTCATCAATGATTGAGTCAATTGATGAGTCACTGACGTCCGCCTGCACAAAGTATGGATCAAGGTTGCGTGATGTCACTGGTGAAGTAGCTACATATTAACCACCAAACATACAAGTTAGATGTAGCTTCAAACATGTATCATCCCGCATACATACACGATGCACGCCCAGGTGAGCTGTATGCTTCACTGTTTGCACTGCTGGTCGAATCACAAGGAGATACACCGGATATGACTCTTGTCGGCGGTGATACTGACGTATGACGAGCTGATACCGGCACAGCAAGAGCTGCAATGGAGATACACGATTAGATTTCACAGTATTCTGTAATCCAGCTTACCACTTACCTTCGTCGCCGCGTTCTTCTGCCGTTGTATACTGCCACAGGTTTAGTTCGAGTTGACGGGTTGATATCCCTCCGAGTAGCTTTCGCAGCAGCTTTGGGTCTTGCGATGGCCTTAGCTGCCGCTTTTGGCCTTGGTACAAGATTCTCATTCCTCTGCATGGCCTTATCGGACTAACTTCTGCATCCTAAGGTCCTCTAACGGGATACTAGTGTTAGACAGTCCACCAGACAGATTTGAGCAGACCCTGCCTTACTTAGGTCGACCTTGTCAAGGTAAAGCATCAGCTCGTTTGCTCCAACGTAGTAATCTACACTGCGCACACCCTTGGTCGTTTTGTCGGGCGGAAGATACGTGAAATCGTCTGAGAGACCTGTGGGTTTCTTTGACGTCCATCCAGCCTTCCATAACTCTCCCCACCTTGTCCGAAAAGCCATTCTGGTGCGGCAGCAGCACTTGCGCTCTGGACCGCAAATCTGAAAGTGAGCATGATTGAGTGGCGCCAGAAGCGGGCAGGTGTGCGATACGCTTGTGACCAGTTTCTTGTTTTTTTTTTACCCAACATTTCCTTTTTAATGTATTATTTTTGTCGATGATGGATCCATCACCTACCCCTCGTTGACTGAATAATTGTATTACTCAATACAAACTTTAAGTAAACCATTTTTTATTTTGGGCCCTACAAGATTGGAAATTGACCGTATCTTGTACGGTCCAAGCGCTCGGTTAATATCTGCTCTAATAAGTAGCTTTGCGATCCACTTGAATTGCTCCTTAATATCCGCAGAATCGAGCTCTATATCCTCATTCTTTGCTTCGCCACCCGGTGTCGACACTCGTGGGCTTCGAGGTGGTGAGTATACCCATCGATTTACTGCTCGCGGGAACGTCCCCCATTTCGGATCGTCGTACACATCACGCCTTGAATGAACTTACCGGTTAGGAGCCAATAACCACCTTTAATTCAGGTCTTGGTTTCAGACGGAATCGATATGATCCAGTATTACCGATATATTAGGTTCTCGTGTCTTTTCGAAGATTTTATGAGCCCAAATGTGAAACTTTAACCCTTGGGCTCACAGTTTTAAATAGCAACTGTCCAATAGTTACTCAAGAAAGAGAACCTGTTGCAGAAAATTCGCGGTTCTTGTTCTTTCGTATTTAAAACTCCGAGCCCAAAAAATCTCAGAACCCAGTTCCAGATTCTTAGGGTTCTGAGTAATTATCAGAGCCATGGTTCTGGCTCGGTCCTTTTTATGCGTGGTACACATTCTCATCTGGTGAATTCAGCAGTTTCGTCACCGACATCATCAAGCGCATGAAGGCGCGACTGCATTACAGTTACAGTGGTTCGTCGGTTACAAGGACTTGCTCCTCTGGCTCGCTGTATTCACACACAAAGTAATCGAGTAAACCAGTGTGTCTCGAGCACTTGCCTCGAGCACTGGGTGGCATGGAATTCCAGCAGTCAGTTGCTGGGAAGTTGGCAGTGCCTCCAGTGCCTTCCTGTATAGATATTGCTCCTAGAGACGGCACTGCTGCAGCGACAAAGTTGAATGCCACTCGGCTACCAGCTGTTGTGATAGGTTGGGGTGGGTACCTGCAAGCGCTGATGCTTGGTGAGCATGCGGGCTGACTTCGTTTCGACTCGGCACTAGCTTGAAAAATTGAAGAATCTTGCTTCTGTGAATGTACCATTTTTGCAAGGCTGAGCCTCTCCACAATAATAATACCCTTAGATAGGAATAATAGATTTGGTTTTCGGCGCTATGACTATGGAAGGGCTCACCTGTAGCTTGTTTAGAATTAATCGATAACTTTAGATTAGTTTTGATTTTCTTAAAATTTTACGTAAAGCTCAAATCTGTTTGCATCCAATACCAGTTTCTGAAATGGTCGCTTGAGATCTTGAGCAAACTTCGTCAAATATTTCCAAAAATTATACTTAGATATGACAATTTTGAACATATCTGCCTACTTGGTCAAATAGTTGCTCTACAAACTGTATCATATATGGGGGGTAAGGACATACTTTTGTTGTGATTCTGTTGAGAAGCCACTTTTTATCAAAATCCGGAGGAATCATAACTCAGATCTGTACCATTTCAAGGGTACTATCCCTTTTCAGTAGCTGACGCTGCAAGGCTGTAAATCGTGAGCGTGCGCAAAGCCCTTATCGGAAGCGTGGAGCTCTGGAATTAAATTCATACCTGCACTGTATTTTTTGAAGTGCTGGAAGCACTCGGATTTCCATACCGGTAACGTCGGTTTGGACCTGTGAAACCAAATTGTGTTAAATACGGTAGGATCACGGTGAGCGACATCTTCATCGCGACGCACGAGCTAAATAAATATCTATGTCTAAACACCTATATGAGTTGATTTGCGGTTCCGTTTTACTAAGCAGTGAATTGATCGGGGGCATTTGAAGCAGTTGGGTCCCCCAAAAATGATGCCGGTATCCAAAACTATTTATTTTAAATATGGGCATGTACCACACAACCTATAAAGTATCGTTTCGCGACTTTTGTTTTCAAAATTTAGCTTGTCCAACATCCCATGAAAGAGCATCTAGAAGCCGTTAGCTGCCATATTAGACAGTAACGCATCAGGTATAGCTGTGAGCTACTGCGCTTCACTGTCAGGGCATCTCAAAAGACCCGAAAACACCCGCTGACAGTGGGGAAGCGTCTCGACTCTACAAATGCAGGATGTACCTCCAAGCTAACAAGAACTCTACTAGGACATCAGCAGCCAAAAACAATAATTGATACTGTTTCGTACCGGTTATTTATGAGAGCGGTCCTAATGCAAAGAAATAGTAATAGTAGAGATCAGCAACAAACAATAATAATAAATGTGGGAGAAAAATACCAGTGCTATATATTATAGTATATTTAATTCGAGCACTGGCTGAATGAGGTTAGCTAAGACGGTGGCAAGTCCACGAGAGGCCTCTGTTGCGCCTTGCGTTCGTGAAATTTCTCCTCTTTGACGCTCTACAGTACAGGAGATACGGATATGCGCCGTCATCGTCCGTGATTTCCACGCGAATCACGCGTTCCTTCTGGTTCTTGCCGGAAATATTATTTTCAGAAAAAAATGCCCTGTACGCGGGCGGACACTCGTGAGCAGACGGATGGAAAGTGGCAGCACCTTCTCGTCGCGGTCTGGGTACTGCTGTCGAATAGCAGCGCCTCGCGGTCGTACTCTTCGATTTTGTAACTGAAAATTTGGGAATCAGCGCGTTGGTCGAAGATAAATCAATATTCATGTTGATATTGTAATATCAACATGAGCAGTAAAACAAATACAAGTTGCCTTCGAAACGGAAACAGAAAGGTAGAATTAGTATGTACAATTTGAAATACAACTACATGGTCAAGTAGTAAAAGTCTAAAAGTTGCCCCGAAGACGACGAGTGACCTCGTCAGCATCGACGTATGCACGGAGATTACGCTTCACGCCTAGACCGACGTCGGCCTTCACCTTCGCATCAACATCCGCCTTGACTCCGAGACCAAGACCAGGCTTCCCGCCGGGACCCGCATTCGGGCCGATACCCAGACCGACGTCCGCCTTCACCTTCGCGTCCACATCCGCATCAACGTCCAAGTTGACTCCGAGATTACGCTTCACGCCTAGACCGACGTCCGCCTTCACCTTCGCATCAACATCCGCCTTGACTCCGAGACCAAGACCAGGCTTTCCGCCCGGACCCGCATTCGGGCCGATACCCAGACCGACGTCCGCCTTCACCTTCGCGTCCACATCCGCATCAACGTCCAAGTTGACTCCGAGATTACGCTTCACGCCTAGACCGACGTCCGCCTTCACCTTCGCATCAACATCCGCCTTGACGCCGAGACCAAGGCCAGGCTTCCCGCCGGGACCCGCATTCGGGCCGATACCCAGACCGACGTCCGCCTTCACCTTCGCGTCCACATCCGCATCAACGTCCAAGTTGACTCCGAGATTACGCTTCACGCCTAGACCGACGTCCGCCTTCACCTTCGCATCAACATCCGCCTTGACGCCGAGACCAAGGCCAGGCTTCCCGCCGGGACCCGCATTCGGGCCGATACCCAGACCGACGTCCGCCTTCACCTTCGCGTCCACATCCGCATCAACGTCCAAGTTGACTCCGAGATTACGCTTCACGCCTAGACCGACGTCCGCCTTCACCTTCGCATCAACATCCGCCTTGACGCCGAGACCAAGGCCAGGCTTCCCGCCGGGACCCGCATTCGGGCCGATACCCAGACCGACGTCCGCCTTCACCTTCGCGTCCACATCCGCATCAACGTCCAAGTTGACTCCGAGATTACGCTTCACGCCTAGACCGACGTCCGCCTTCACCTTCGCATCAACATCCGCCTTGACGCCGAGACTAAGGCCAGGCTTCCCGCCGGGACCCGCATTCGGGCCGATACCCAGACCGACGTCCGCCTTCACCTTCGCGTCCACATCCGCATCAACGTCCAAGTTGACTCCGAGATTACGCTTCACGCCTAGACCGACGTCCGCCTTCACCTTCGCATCAACATCCGCCTTGACTCCGAGACCAAGACCAGGCTTTCCGCCCGGACCCGCATTCGGGCCGATACCCAGACCGACGTCCGCCTTCACCTTCGCGTCCACATCCGCATCAACGTCCAAGTTGACTCCGAGATTACGCTTCACGCCTAGACCGACGTCCGCCTTCACCTTCGCATCAACATCCGCCTTGACGCCGAGACCAAGGCCAGGCTTCCCGCCGGGACCCGCATTCGGGCCGATACCCAGACCGACGTCCGCCTTCACCTTCGCGTCCACATCCGCATCAACGTCCAAGTTGACTCCGAGATTACGCTTCACGCCTAGACCGACGTCGGCCTTCACCTTCGCATCAACATCCGCCTTGACTCCGAGACCAAGACCAGGCTTTCCGCCCGGACCCGCATTTGGGCCGATACCCAGACCGACGTCCGCCTTCACATCCGCATCAACATCCGCGTTGACGCTGATACCGCCCTTCCCGGCGTCGATCTGTCTATCAACGTTGAGATAGTAATTAGGTTCGTGCTGTGGTGAGTTCACGACCTCCGTGTCATCACCTAGGTCAACTCCGCTTGAAGAAGTAGAGACGCTGTCGCTTCCAGTAGCAGGACTTTCTTCGGTGCCAGCTGCATACGCATTGTCGGCATGAGCCGTGAAGTCGGAGAGCGCGACAGCCACCGCGAACAGTTTGAGGAAGGTTTTACACGAAAGCATTCTTGTTGTTGAGGGTACTTGAGCCGCCGTAAAGGAAGAAGGCGAACAGGAACAACGGGGTTGGACTCGAGTGAAGAGTGGAAATTGGGGAATGAGAGTGCAGTGGCGCTAGGCTAGACACGTTGGTTGCCGCCACTAGCAGCCTACTGTTTAATCACCCCTCTCGTGACGACGCAACGCTGAACAAGCTCATTTGGATCTCAGGCGTCTGCTTCGACATATTTGTGAGACACACAGTCCACTTGGCGGCTTTCCGTGACCACATCTCTCTCTTCCCCTATTTTAAAATCAACTGGACTCAAAGTAATTCAAGTGATACTCGCAGAAGATATAATACGTTCAGAAAGAGAATGGATCATCTTACGGCTTTTGGTGACCCAACGACGGGTCGACTATAACGACTGTGCTGCTTAAAAAAATTGATGCATATTGGTACGCGTTCGATCTAAAACAGATATCCGAAGCTAATCAATTTCACCAATATCGACATTGATAAAGTATTTAAAAGCAATTAACTAGCATCGACAGCTAGTATTTGAACTGTCAAGTTATCGTTTTTAAAACGAGCAAGAAACATTTTTTAAGTCTCTTTAGGACGTTCGAAACCTGGCTTCAAGTCCAGTTCAAGTGTCAGTTCTTGGTGTGACAAACCAGTGCGTAGAATAGTTTGGATCTTTCGGTGACCGAATCGGTGGGCACAGACCGGAATAGTTCATGAGATTTGATGGTTGGTGGATAGGTCACCACAACTTGGAATTATTCAAATAAAGCTTGTTTCGTCTGGTCTCCATTCCACGTAGTAAAATGACGTTTCGTTCCAAGCTACGTCAAGTCGGAGGATGCCACACTAGCGAGAATCGGGTGTGGCTTCGCAGCGATGAGTTGTTTCAGTACGCGAGCATTACGCATTGCTCGATCGTCTATCTGGGCACACGCCGGAACGCCAGGGACCGCATCAGAGCTCGCTCCAGAGTCACTCTTCTCCTGACCGGTGGCCATGATATCGAGCTGCTCCAGCTGTCGGAGCCAGCTCGCTGTTGAGCTCCCAGCAATAAAAACTTGCTGTGGACTCGAAGTCTGAAGACTCCGTACTAACCGTCTCGTTCCCGCACAGAAATCATGGAACTCCACAGCGCCACAAACGCCGCTAACAACGAGTGCTCTCGACTGTATAGAGACTGTATCAGACGCAGGCGATACTATCTTCGCCAGCGCCTCCATTGCTATAGGCCCTACATCGAAAGCACGGAACGTCCAATCGTACGGAAACTTTGGCGGAAGAGTCATGTGCGTCGTCACTCCGTCGTCACCTTCTTCGTCTGCGTCATCACCGTCGGAATCAGGGTAGAACGAAGCTAACACACTCGCATTTCCCTCGATAACACGAGCAGTATGCAAACACTGCGCTGTCACATGTTCAAACGTTTGCCACCCCATGTCAGAGGTTGGTCTCCCACTGTTAAGGACCACATGCGCTCGCTCGCCTTCGTATACGTATTGATGTTTAAACGCGAAGACGTCGACGTGGTTAGGCTCCTCTAATGGCTTCTGTCGCGCACTCTTGATCGATTTCTTTCGACTGTTTTCTTCTTCATCTTCTTCCTCCTCCTCCTCCTCGTCACTATCCTCGACGATACCGGTAGTAAGATCCTGCTCTTCTAGCGGAGTCTCGCCCACTATCCAGTCGATTGGAAGCAGCAGACGAACACACTTACGACTCGCTTTCTGTTGCAGTTTCTCCACTGCCGGGACTAGAAGTTCCCATACCCCCTTGCAGTGAACACCGGGTGTCTTGTCAGTGGCAACTTCGATCTCAATCGTCTCCTCTTTGGAGACTTCTGCGTCTTCTTCAAGCTCTTCATCCTCTTGTTCCAGCTTCATTTCGACGTGGTTTACTGTAGCCATCTTAGTCGCTTTCGTATGTAGAACTCTGTACAGACTCATGGCCACTTGACCGACAAAGTAGACCTCGTTCACACACTCTAACAGACCGTCAATGAAGCGTAACTTTGCCTCCAGAGACGCCCCACCCACCACCGCAGTCAGCGCATGAGGCGGATTGTCACTAAAGGCCAATGGTTGTAACATTCGGGACCAAATCTCAAGCTCCTTCGACAGTTTTGGTCCCGCAATCATACGAGGACAAGAAGCGATGGCGTCTGGCTTGGGTGCAGACAAGAAGACGCTTTCGCACGCTTGAGACGGCACTCCATCCATCACCCAGACACTCGCCATACTCTCGAACTGGTCTCGTAAGGCTACGACGCCTTTCTCACGCGCTTCTCCCACAGATATCTCGAGCTTCGTAAGGTCAGGCATTGAAGGATTACTCGCCGGAGGGGCAGGAGCAGGAGCAGCTGTTGAAGGCTTCCGCTTAGACGCAGAGGCCGCGGATTTCTTTGCAGACTTCAGTGCTTCGGGTGCTGGCGTTGTTGGCTTTGAAGCTGCCAGCTCACGCTTCCGAGACGCGTGAGTGATGAGGTCGATGCCGGCAGCGTCAAGGTGTTCCAACAGCACAATTGTCGGCGACATTCCGGTGTCCGTAGCCTCGTCGTTTGCGTTATCTTTCTTTCGACTAAACTCGATTTGACTCTGCACGTCCTCGACGGCGGAACAAAACACAACGTCTTTGTTGATGGCACGGCGCAGTACTGGAGCAACATCTCGAAGTGAGAGCTGAGAGGACAAACGCTCCAGTATATTCTGCATAGCCGTAGCTTCTGTTTCAGCGTCGTCTCCTTGAGGTTTAGTTTCCTCTGTGTCTCCAGTCGGTTGGTCGGTTGCAACAGCCTTAGCCTTTACATCAGCTAAGGCGACAGTACGCAGGAGTTTGAGCATTTGCCTTGTCAGAGGTGGACGACTTAACTCGCTTACTAGCACGACGGTATGAACACTTGATAGCGTGTTTACTACCTGTTCTATCGACTCTGCAGCGTCCGCCACTTTCGCGGGAACAAACGACAAATGCTTGACTAAATCTTGCGAAAAGCGCCACGTCAAGACCATGTTAGAAACGTCATCTCCTGCTGATTTTTTAGCTTCCGTCTTGACGAGAGAGAACCACGCAGCCAGATCCAAGTCCACCTGCATCAGTACCACCCCCAAACGATCACAGCTCTCAAGGTTCTGTGCCGATGGTGGACTATTTGTACTCTCAGAAGCCACAGACACGCACGAACGGATCGACAAATACGACACCTTGTCACTTAGCCACATCTTCTGGAGACGCCGTCGTGCCTGCCCAATATGCGTCTGGTGTCTCTGGTCGCCTCCAATTGCCTCGTCCACAGCGCGTACGAGCAGCTTCCCTACACCTTCCACTTTCGCAGCTTGCACAGCTGATAGATCGTTCGTAGTGTCCATGGCTTGAGCAATCTCACAGACTACCGGTAGCTCGCCACACAAACTCCCCATTCTTTCGTACAGTCGCTCATGTAGTCGAGTAGTCGAGTAGGGCGCAGTGTGGGCTGCAAACCGCAGCGTGTCGAATGATTCCTGGAGATCTGGTTGTAGTGTACTGATCTCGTCTTCGAGTGCTTCACGACGAGCTAGTCGCTCCATCCTACGCACCTCACGAGGACTTATACGTGGAGGTTTCTCCTCGATAACATCGTCGGAGTCTTCCTCGTCATCCGTCTCGTCTTCGTCTTCTTCTTCGTTGTCGTCTTCTTCTTCGTTGTCGTCTTCCACTTCCTCGATCTCCTTTTTCAATTGTCTAGTCAAGTCATTTATCTGCGCTTTCTGAGCTTCGTCGGCTCTTTTACATAGATCGCAAAGACTTTCCAGCCGCCAATCCCACTCCTGAATACGGTGTTCTGGTAGAGAAATGTCTTGAGCAGTCGGTGGCTGTAACTCGTCAACACCACTTCCGATACTGTCGTTTGTTTCTGTTACAAACGCTCCGTTACTAGATCCCTCAACACCGTCAGGCCCACTGTCAACAACGTTCTCGTTGCTAGAATGTTCTTCCTTGACTGACGGTACAGGCGTGAGAGCTCTTAAAATCCCTTGAGCACGTTCATACAGTGCGTGACAATCACGCACAAACTCTGGACTAAAGTAGACGTCACTAAACGCATCACCTCCATTGTGTTCGTAGAATCTGTCGACATCTTCTTGCGGCATTAACTCCTCGAACGCTACACGTTCCGGTAGTCGTATTGTCTCCAGAATTTCATCCACAAGCGTAGTCACAAAGAAGTGACTTTCTTGTTGTCCCACACGTGCGAGTTGCATCTCTCGTCGCTTCCAGGCTACAAAGTTGTCTTCAGCAACGCAGCTCAGACGCACTTCAACCGGTAACGTTGCTACTAACAGCTCCGTATCTGCGTCGACTGAGGGTACGCCAATGCAAATTCTCGGTCGAGGGTCTGCGTCCAGAAACCATTTTTCGAGAAACATACCAGCTGTTGACGCCGTAAACGTGAACACAAAATGTTTATTCTCCCCCGGTAGCAACGTCCCTCCAAGCTTTGACAGCGAAATCGTCGTCAGCTGCTCCAGCTTTTGTTCTTCTTGTCGCGTTCGACGTCCTCGTAAATGAGTCGTCAACTCTGCGTTCTCATCTTCGAAAGGAGCTCGCCACCATTGATAGTGGACGATCGTACTACCGTCATTCGTAATTGATAGAGAGCGTTGGTCTTGTTCGCGTACGCGAGTGTAAAAGCTCAGACGAAGCGGATAACTCACCTCTGGGTTAACGTCCTCGTCACTATCGGAAACGTAGGAGATGCGAAGACTAGGACCGGTATACTGGTTACCATTCTCTCCCTTGGTTCTACTTTTGTGACTTGGACTTGCGTACGAGCGTAATCTACGACGCCGTGAAGCTTCCTCTTCTTTCGCCGAATAGAAACGACCAGATGGTTCATCTTCGTCATCTCTCGCCTGCTCGGTGTCACCTGACGCCCAAGCGAACAAGTCGGTTGTTCCGACTGCTAGATGGCTGCTGGCACTATGATCCACTTCGTGTGGTTGAATCACTTCCAGTTGCTTCCGCAGGCGCCATTTCTTACGTGCCAAGAGATTTAGAGACCTTTTCTCGAGTTTAGAAATAGGTCGCGACGTTTCGTCCTCTTGGTTGTCAAAATAGTCCAGCGGTCGTCGGACTCGAGGACCAATTTTGGTGCTTTCTCGGATTGGACAAAATAGTCCACTGAAAATGTTGCCAACGGGTACATACCGTGTCCCTTCATTCCTTAAGCTCACGAGCCAGATATCCTCGCCCACTTTGTCACTCAGGGGCCGCGCCTTTTGTAGCGCATCGTACATCTCTCGCTGCTCTCGATAGGCCGCCGCTCGACTCATGACAAGCTCTTGAGGAGTTTTGCCCAATCTTCGAGCTGCACGTCTCGTAAAAGCCTCCCAATCTCGATTCATCTGTCGCCATTTGCGTAGCGCATTTTGTTGCCGTTGTTGAGAAACCCGTTCGTGGATCGGGAGCGAGTTCAGCCACTTCCGATGCGCTACGGCTTCTTCTCGGCGCTTATGTGCATCGTTCTCCATCTCTTGAGTCTTAATGTCGATTCCTTCCAGCTGAGTGCGACTCGTTGTCTTCCGCTTGGTCGACGCTAGCATTTGATGCGGTGACGTCGCTGCTGCTCGCAGTTCTGAGGCACTGGGTTGGCCACGCTGCTCGGCCAAGAACCGGTCGAACCGCTCGACGTCTTCCGCTCCTCCGAGTGCTGCGTAGGAGGCTAGTTTACCTGACCGTGCATCACGAGAATGATGTTGGTTGACGACGTCACTGCATGTGGCTGACGTGACTTTGGCTGATTCTTCGTCGATGGGCCTTGCAACGATGACCGTCCGAGTCTTGCGTTGACTCAAGCTGGTCGCTGTGGAAGGCTTGCCACTCGAGGCGAGACTGGCCTTGGACGTGGACTCGTTCATTGCTGTCTGTTGCCAAAGCGCCACTATTCTAAGCGTCGGTTGGCAAAAGACGCAAAACTTCCGAAATGTCGTGGCCGGAAGGCGGCAAGCGGTTGCCACTCTGGGACGCGATCTACAATGGGGACGCCGTGGCTGCTCAGAAGCTGCTTGTGACGAAAGCAGGGGCAGACCAGGTGAATACTCCGCATGGAGTAAGTACACCATCAACATCTATGAAGCCAATTAACTCACGTTGCTGTAGCTCTGGCAACAGACAAGTGTACATGTGGCTGTACAACATGGGCACGTCAAACTATTGAAGCATTTGGTTTTCACTGGAGCCAACGTTAATGCCAGGACGGTAGGTAGCAACTTCAAATAGAGTGCAACTGTGTATTTGCCATTATTTCCTTCAATGTAGATCAACGGTTCGACGCCCCTGCATCTCGCGGTAGAGATCAACCGCCGGGATATCGTACAGGACCTGCTCCTCGCAGGTGCCAACCCGCTGCTCTACAACGTACATTAATGTGCTGCAATACTGCTTTGGGTTAATACACAGCTTTCTTACCACGAGACGGTCCAGTTCACAGGTCAAACCCCACTCCAAGCAGCAGTCAGTCGTGGATTAAACCATATCGCGACGCTCCTTCGCCAAGGATTGGATAGTCGGCAAACTCTCGCTAGCCTCGAAACCGCGGCCCAACAAACAGCCAAGCGTCGACAATCACTCCTTTCCAGCAAATAAGCATTGCCGACCAATTTATTACACTGTATTTTGTTTAAGACAGGAGAATGTAGTCAAAAGTTGGATTTTGTATTAAAAGTTGCTTCGGAGGTGGCGGTTGGAGGGCTTGTTGGCATCATCGGCTTCAGCTAGTGCTGTAGCACCAGCTTTCTCGCCACGAACTGGCTGATCATCATTGTCAGCGTTGAGTTCGGCGCTCAGATCCCTAGAAATACTGAAGATGGGCAGCGTCGGGCGAGCGGTAAGCACAGTTGGGATAATCGGAGGTAGCGTCGGGATTACGGGAGGTAGCGTCGGGATGACCGGAGGGAGGGTCGGGATTACCGGAGCTAGCGTAGGAATCACCGGAGGTAGCGCCGGGATTACCGGAGCGGAAGGTCCGGGATCACCGGAGACCGCCGCCGGATTAACGGAGGGGAGGGAGGGGATGACCAGAAAGTAAAGTCGTTAAATCCTGGAGCGCGGGCCAGGATGCCCAGAGGAAGCGCCGGGAACTACCGGGGGGGGGGTAGGATGCCCAGCGGCGCCTCCATATTCCCGGAGGTAGCGTCAGGATTGCCGGCAAGAGCCT